ACATTCCTTTCTTCTTTTAATAAACATTTACACATAAAAGTCACAGAAATAATGAGAAATGGGAAGGTTAATTGGCTATTGTACGCATTTTGGGAGGGGGGGGGGGAAATCTAGATTTTATTAATTTGTATCTTTTACAAATATTCGTATTTAATATTTTTATCCTAAAAATTTAACTCACTTTTAAAAGGTCTAGAATCCCTACATTTACTTTATGTAAGAGCTTCTGGCACAATTACCGTATTTACTCGAATCTAAGCCGCTCTATTTTTTCAATGATAATACTTTTGAAAATCGGGTGTGGCTTAGAATCGAAAGTAAAACATTTGTTGGATGGGGGAGGGATTAAGTTTCCATCTCTTTCTGAAGGAAAAATGTAACCGTCCATTCTGGACTCTTCCATCGAATGACTTATCCCATTCTGCAATTTATCTCTAGTATTCAGTTCATCCTAAACATCGTTGTCTTTTCGTACAGTGGGTGATCGGTTAACGAACATAATCCGTTCCAAGACTATGTTCGCTATCCGAATTGTTCGTTAACCGATCATCGATTCACCATAGACTTCTATGTGAAATCGATTAATTCGTTCTGGAGACCCTAAAAAATGAAATCAAAACCGAAACTAGTGGTCTAATGTGTATGAATATTCTATTGGATTTTTTTTTCAATATAACTTTGAAGTTTAATAGGTAAGCAACATAATTCAGGAGTAATGAAAAACGATTTTTAGTCCGTTTCTCATATTTCACGTATTTTTACGGCGGTAGCGCGTCATCGGCACCTTTATATTTTATAGTCTGCGCTGTTTGAAAAAATTAAGAATTCGCTTAATTTATTTGCCATGTCAGCAAATCCACTCGCCCATAACTTATCAGCTGTCAGAAAATATTGATATTCATATTGAAATTCAAGTATTCAAGTGTGTATTGATTTTAGTCATAATAATAATTTATTGAATGACCTTTAAATTCATTGTTAATTCAAGTTTCATTTAGTAATTATCAGTACTAAGCATGCTTTAAACATTTCTCCTTTCAGTGATCTTATTTTGTATGCAAAATGATAACAAATGTTTAATATTAATTTTTTTTCAGAGCCGAGAAGTGTTCGTTAGAATTCGTTTTGTTCATTATCCGAATATGTGTTCGTTGTCCAAACACAAAAATTCTTTCTTGAAAGTGTTCGTTATCCGAATATGTGTTCGTTATCCGATCACACAAATCTTTCGTGAAAGTGTTCGTTAACCGATTTCTTCATTAACCAATCTGTTTGTTAACCGATCACCCACTGTATTTAGGAATTTTTTTCTTTTGTATATGTTTTCTTTTAATCACCTTATCACCAAAGATATCGGTAATAGCATCAAGACGAGTTCACAATGAGGGAAGTATGAAAACAGAGGCAATTTTATATGCAAGAAAAAATGAAAGTAGAGCAACAGTCACTGAAAATTGGACACGGATGAAACAAATATACTTCGATGGCTTCAGCAAAACGATATAATTTTTACTTGTTAATGTGCAACAGACTTTATAATTCTTTTACATTCTTTTATATAATATATTCTTTTAATAAAATGGGGTGTAACAAATGCTTCGGATGGAACGGAAGACTACAGCGTGGCACGCCACCGGCACCATTAACAAAGTCAGCAGTGACAATGGGAGTGACGAATCCTTTTCGAAATATATGATACTGACGGTTAGAGTAATTACGGTGCGTGTTCATGTATATATGTTTTTAAGGTATCTGACTACGTTCGGAACCGTGATTTTGAAAAAGCGTATAAATGGATAATTTTCATGATATTTAGTGTCACTTAGATTAGAAAATGTATATAAAATTGTTTTAAGAATAGTATTACAATATGTAAAAAATTATTTAAGTACAGTAAGACCCCGCTTAACGCGGGGGACACGTTCCATCAAAGTAGAGCGTAATGCGAAACAGCGCTAAACGAGGCTATCTTAACATGTAAGTAATGGGGTTAGGGGAAGATGGATATAAAATTGGTTAGGTATTCAATTTAATAATTATGTATTTTTTTAATAAAAATAAAACCAAACATTTATTTTTTACAAAAATAAAAACAATATAAATGAATATATACATGTAAAAATAAATAAAATTCTAAGTCAGTCAGATCATTCAGTCTATTCGGTGTTTCCAAATTTTCTACCTTTTTGTCAAGAAGGCATACTTTTGAAGTTGCCAAATTCAATGCAGCACTAATTTGAGACTGACGTTCACCAGAATCTAATCTTCTAATCATTTGCATTTTAGTTTCCAGAGAAATGCTTTTTCTGGTTGCTTTCTTTTCTTGTTTTTCTTTATCACCCATGATAAAAACTAAAGATCATATTTGTCACTATATTAATCGTTATAGTATTATATAAATTTATACTTACAATAATGTCAACAAAGGTTTCAAATGATAAAAATGCGTCCGTACAGCACCGCACCAAACAAGAAACACGACTACACTGTTTCGGATACGTTATGTACATATTTTGAAAAATACAATTTCGGGGAATCCCCGTACCGCTGCGAGCAATTTCGGGGAATCCCCGGGTTGAAATAAAAGAGCGCTAAACCGCGCGCGAAACAGCGTTAAGCGGGGTCCTACTGTACACTACTTTGGCAAAAAATGAAAGAATGGCCCATTTTCAAAATATTCTCCTTTTGTGAAAAATGCTTCTATTATAATAATATTTTGCCTGTATATAGCTCAGATTTCTCCACAGAGGCCCAACTAAAATTTTTGAAATATATAACTTAGAAGTGGGTTTATCCATGTTTTACGACAACAGAGGGGAGAAATTTTAAGAAAAAACGCCGATAATTATTACAATGGGTTGTAACGAAAATGATGTGAATTTTTCAAAAATCATAGTTGAGCCTCTGTACAGAAGTCCGAGCTATATACAGGCAAAATATTATTATAATAGAAGCATTTTTGACAAAAGAGAACATTTGGAAAAAAGGCTATTCTAAAGTAATTTTTTGGCGAAATATTGTATTTAAATAATTGTTCTTTTGTCAAAATGTCCTTAAAACAATTTTATACATGTATTCTAATCTAAGTGACTCTAAATATAATGAGAATATTATCCATTTATCCGCTTTTTTAAAAATCACGTTTCCGAACGTAGTCGGATACCTTAATACAGGTCAAATAAATTCATTATTAACTTCCTACTATTCCGCATTTAATATTTTTTTTAAAAAAAATTCTTTAGTATTGGATGTCGATGAACCTTTAACATATTTTTTTTAAAAAAATTTGAAAAACATATGAAGAACTGAGGGTGCGGTTTAGAGTCGAAGACAACATTTTTTCACAAAAACATGTTGAGAATTTGTGCTGTGGCACAGAATCGATGGCGGCTTAGATTAAAGTAAATGTGGTAGGTAAAAGTCACACGAAACAGTATAATAGGTTTATTATACAAAATTAATTTCAATTTTATTTTAAGGTGTCCAAACACGTTCAGTAAACTTTTTTAAAATTAGTACACTAAAACATTGTGAAAACTTATTAATACTTATTTATGGTTCAATACCAATTATATATTAGTACTTAACCACTCAAACACACAGAAATATTTTAAATAAATTATCTAAATTTTACAAATATTAACAATTATACGGGAAATTTTAGCAATTTTTAGAAAATTCTTTAAATTGCGTGTGGTTTGAGGGAAAAGTAATAAATCTATATCAATAAAGTATATTCCTAAATTAATTTCCATATATTTATCTAGGAAATGTGATAAAATGTTAATGATTAATTAAAATATAAAAATTTTAGAGCTGGTAAAACCAATTTTGTAAGAAATGTGTCATGTTTATGAGGCTATTGTTGAAACAACAGGTTTTAACTCAAAAAATATCCATACGGTAAAAATATCCATTACGGTTACCTAGAAAATAATATAAATATCAGGTTCAAAAAGTTTCATAGCAATACATTTGCAATATTTTTGAACTAACAGACTCGCCATGATAGATTTTTAACAATTCAAATGCCCACTTCTGTTGAATTTAAGACCCAATTCCGGTTTTTACTAATTTTATGCAATTTATTGTGTAACTCTGCTTCTATATGTAACGTAGAAACAAAATTGAGCTTTTGTTAGGCTAAAAAATTTCTCTATTCAATACAAAAAGGAAATGTTTGTTTGGTTTAAAATCAGTCATTTCAATTCAGATACCTTAAGAAAAAAATTTTTAGAAAAAATGTATTTATTAATAAAAACTTTTAATTTCAATAATTGACTTACTTGTATAGCAACAAGTAGTATAAAAAAAAGCTTAGTCAATTCCTACTAAGGCCAAAACAGAAAATTTTTATTTTACTTACTTTTTATTAAATACCGTAAAATTCGGCGCATAACGCGCACCTATACATTCAGGTTCCATTTTTTAATTTTTAGGTATATTCGCCGTATAACGCGCACCCTCTTTTTCGAAGGAATCTGAAATGTATGTGTGCAGCTCTGCTATGTTTTGAAGTCATTTATTAGAGATATTATACCAAGATATTTTAAAAATGGGATACTTCTACAATTACAACCCTTCGCATTCATTAGGCATTCGTTTCTTTTAAATAAACAGTGTTTCGGTCTATGTAGAAGTCAGTGTTCGGATGTAGTTTTTATGCTCAACTCTTTTTTTTATTATTATTGAAGCTATCCTTTTTATACCCAGCATATAACGCGCATCCGTAAATTTCGATCTCAATTTTTGTGTTTAAAGTGCACGTTATACGACGTTTTTTACGGTAATTGCAATTAATATAAATATGTTTATACATATGACAGAATCACACTATTAAGTGGTAAAATGGAAAGCTATTTTCCTTGCAATTTTCCATTTTCCTTTCTATATAGGGTGTTGGACTATTATTTTTGTTTCCTACTATTTATTCATTCATTAAGTATAATTATTCTAATAAAACAGTATAGTAAAAAGGAATCACATTCCTTAAATTAGGCCATCCCACGTGGGATTCGAGTTCACGACCTTTGGATGAGAAGTCCAACGCGCTATCCATTGCTCTACAGGGACACAGCGAGCGCTTTTCCTTTTTATAAATGTTGTTGGACTAGTATTTGTGTTTGTTACTGTGTACTCATTAATTACCGTAAAATCCGGCGTATAATGCGCACCACCGTATAACGTGCATCTATACTTTCAAGCTGATTTTTTTTAATTTTTGGGTATATTCGCCGTAAAGCACCCCACCTTTAACGAAGAAACTTGAAATGTACGTACGCAATGTTCTTACGTTTGAAAAAATCTATTCGAGATATTATTCCAAGCTTTAGAAAAAATAATATATTTCTAGAACTAATACCCTTTAAATTCATAAAGATAGTCATTTCTTTTAAATAATCAGTATTTTGATTTATATATAGAAGTCTAATTATTTTTCTATGCTCTTTTTTATTTTTAATGCTATCATTTTTATACATGGGGTATAACGCGCACTCGTAAATTTTGATCTTATTCTTTGTGTTAAAATTGCTCGTTATACGCCAGAATTTACCGTAAATAGAATTAATGAATTAATATTTGAAAAAACTGTATTAACATCAAGTGTCATCTACTACAAGTTTAAAAAAATATATTTCAACTTGATTGGATGAATAAAAAGTATTTTATCAACGACTGAAAATTTGAACAAGATAAATATAAGTATATATAAATAAATATATATAGGGAGAGCGTTAACTAATAGTATAGGAATTGAAAAAATAATTAATATCTGGTATATATTGGTCTGTCTGGTTGACTGTTTGACTCGAAACAATAAAGAAAGCAATTATGATATGCCACTACCCAATAATAAGAGCTAAGCATTAGTAAACCTTTTTTATTGCGTAATAATCCTCTTATGCTTAAGCTGTAATCTTACTCATCAATGTGCTTTTTGTGTATGTTCTGCTTATTATTTCTATACTAAGTGCTGAATCATGTTCTTCTAAGCACAGTGTCATTCAGAAAAACGGTAAAACCGCTTAGTTGCCAATATCAATTATCATTATTAGAGCAAAGGGGCATTTCCTAATGTTCTGGCTCCACTCAAAGATCGAAGAGATGGGTAGTTTGGATTGACAGTGATAAGTCAACCGCGAACATGTAGATCCTTGTAAATCTCCACGGTATCCATGGTATCAGCTGGGAAAAAAGTTTATCATATAATCTAGTCTGGTCAATATGACTATCATTAATATATCTGTCTAGATAATGATTTTATTTCTTCCAAAGCGTGTGTGCTTACGATAAATTAGTTATAGAAGCAAATTTAATTTGTTCCTTGAGTTAATTCACTGGTGACGTGCTTGTTGCCAATTATGAACTGTAAGTTACTTCAAAAACTTATTTCGAGTTTTTTAAGCGACACAGTCATGACTTTGTAAATTTCAATTGACATTATCAAACAAGAAATATAAAAAAAAATTAAGTCAATTCCTACTTAGATCAGCAAAGAAAATTTTATTTTAGCTACTTTTTATTAAATAGTTACAATTAATATAAATATGTATATACATATGACAGAATCACAACATTAAGTGGCAATTAATTTTTATTAATTATCATTAAAGTATCGTATTGTCATCTAAAACAATCGTGTATATAAAATTTCAGTTCAACTGAATGCTTTGAAACGTGAGAAAAAAACCTTTTCAAGTTTTGACCCCCAAGGGTCGCCAAAAATGATGCCAACGTGGCTGTATTTGTAATTCTTTAAATAATTAGTTTTAATCAATTAATTTTCATTAATTGTAATTAAATTACTGTATTGTGTCATCCAAAATAACCCTGTATATAAAATTTCAGCTCAATTGAGCTCTTTAAAATGTATTTTATTAACAATTGAAAATTCCACTAAGATAAATAAATATATAGAAAGTGTGAGCTAATAGTGTAGGGAGGCATTGAACAACTACTTTTTACTTATGAATTATCACCTTATGATTAATTCAGGTTTAATAACCGTGAGAGCAATCATACATTAGTTTCCTAATCTAATGCTTATAAGATTATCAAATCGATACTTACCTCTTGATCTGATTGTAGATCACTTGTCTGCTACAATCCTTTTCAAATCTTCTTCTCTATTATTTCCATCTTTCTGAACGACAGTTCTTGCTTGAATGAGAATGTAAGGACTAACGACTCACTACTAACGACTCACCACTAACTCTAACACACCCATTTCCAGGGTTTAACCCTTTATCTACCGACGGTACTTATAAGTACCACTCACTTTAAAATTACGTAGAATAATCATTTTTACGAATATTCTGAAGATACTTAGCAGGAATATTCTTTGAAATCTACTTTACCATGATATATGGCAGCTCGGGTTCTAGGATGAGTATTTTAGTGGGAAAGAATAATAGTTTTATTGCAGAAATTGCGTTTTCAGCTGATTGCGAAGATTATCATTTTTGTCCCAAAAAATAGTAAATGTCAAAATTTAAATGTCTTTTTATTTGTATGTTAATGAAGACCTTTAGAAATCGATTTGACTATTTATTTTAAGTGAACAGTGTATATAATTAATTTTACAGTTGAATATCTTTAATGAATTAATTAACTCTAACGGATTAAATTTCCCAAAGTTGAGTATTTTGTTTATGTATACCCCTTAGTTTTCAATGTAGTGATCCAAAAAAATAAATATTGCATGAAAAAAACTGCAGTAAATCATAATGTGTTAGATAAAGGGTTAAATAGCACTTACATTAGCATAAAATTAAGTTATCTTTATGGAAGGCGGTTTTAAACTCAAACCACGGAAAAAAGAATTTCTCCTACCGGATTATTAGAAGGACCGCGAATAGAACCCGTAACTCCGTTAATAAAACACTCACTCACTTAGACGTGCTCATATCAAGCATCCAATTAACATTGTTCAGTAAATAAATAATTAAATTTTATTTAAAAGAAAATGAAAATAATACTCTAAAACAACAATCAAAGCGTCATTATTTGCCGTGGTGAAATAAAAGCTCATAATTATGTTTATAAGATATTGAGTTACTTATAATATAATTTAATTTGAATAACTTATTAAATATTCTGTTCCTGAATAACTCTCAAATCTGAGGAAAATTTAAGCGTATTTTCCATAAACCATCTATGCAATTTGATGAGGCTATTTTTGATAATGATTTTACAGAAGCTCGGAATGCACGAGTACTTACCTCTTACGTTCTCATTCTGTTCCGTTGATAATCCTGACGCATTCCAGGATTTAGAGGAATTTGGGAAGCGAAAATGACTTCAGGAGGGGTGTTAGGCACGAAAATGACCAACATCCGTTCTCAGGAAGCAGGAAACGAGAGACCAACCAGACGGGACTCGTTATTTCGTCGAAAATCGGCTTTCTAACTATATCTACAATAGAACTCGATGGAATAATTTGCATTGGGGAAAGTTTGGGAATTCGAAGTTGTTGGAATTTTGTTTAATTAGTTTGATAAATGATTTGAATTTAGGGATATTTGATATTTTCACCTGTTTGTTCTAAGTAACTAGTTTTTGAATTAATTAATCTTAGTTTATTGAAGAAAATTGATGGCAATTCCAACTTGGTTTTTGTTTACATAATAAAGGAGATATACATGTATTAATCTCCCTACTCTCTAAATAATTCATACATTTAATCATAATACAAGTAGATCTCAAAAGAAAAGACTGATCTATTAAAAAAATACCTTTAAACTACGTTCTTTAAATGTATTAACCACTTAGCCCTCTTTATCTACCTCATTATCTACCTCATTATCTTACCTCATTTTTTTAATTCTTTAATTCTGGGAGAAACAAAACCCTCTAAATGTTTGTTTTCTATAAGTACGTTCTGCATACAATGAAGAATTTTTCATATATCCTAAAAGAATTTTTCTCATAAAGTTTCATGTACATACCTCTATTTCAAGCGGTGGAGGTGTGTGTGTGTGTGTGTGTGTGTGTGTGTGTGTGTGTGTGTGTGTGTGTGTGTGTGTGTGTGTGTGTGTGTGTGTGTGTGTGTGTGTGTGTGTGTGTGTGTGTGTGTGTGTGTGTTTCTGTGGACCACACATCACTACTTCATACATTAATTCTGATTTGCCTTGCCCGAAGTTTAATTTTAAAATATTAAATGCTACGAATTTTGTGTGAAATAGTGTAAATAATTTGTATTTGGAAGTTAGTGCATTTATCTTAAAAATTGTTATATTAAATTTATCTTAAAATTGTAATACTCACAAGCAACGCCATCCCTTACGGAACCTGGTGAAATCTTGGCGATAGAGCCAAGTTGGCATCATTTTTGGTAACCGAGTTGGCGGCCAATTAGAACTTCTAGAACGAGCGTCAGTAGTGTTTTGACTAGTGACTAGTAAACTTGCCTTTACCATGTTTACCAATTAGCTCGGCTGTGTGTGTGAATAATCTTTTACATACGTGTATTTTAGATACTATTAATTGTATTTGAGTGCTGTTGACGATGTGTAGACCTTCTAAGATTTATTCTGTGAATATTGCTGCTGAATCCTGTATTTTGAGGATTGATTTTCAACAATAAATTCTCATCGCTCTGAAATAACTGTTTTTTCCTTTCAGAATGATTTGCATAAAATCCTCGAACTTCGATCAGCGTAGTAATATTAATAAAGAGGCTTGAAAGCTGAATAATGCCAGATATCACTTTTACACTTTATTATTGCCTGAATAACGTATTAATTCAAAAGGGTAAAAATTTGCAACTCTGAAAACTCAGTCCTAGTTTATATTGACCTGCATCCATGTGAATCAACCTTTATAAAAGAATGATAAATGTTAAGTCAGATTTGCAATTCATTTTTGTACATTTTTTTTATATTTTTGCTTCACAAACATGTAAGATATATCATTGCAGGGAATCCCAAATTTGAAATTCATTCGTAATTTATTTTGAAGATATCTCAGTTTTTTATTATACTATTCAATATTTTTGTAGGAACTTTATTTTTGGCGTCTGTCATTTTTGCTACATTTCATTTGGTGATCACAAAGTTCAGCTGGCTTCCAGC